GTTCTAATGGTATTATATCTGAAGCCATTTATCGAACGTCAGAAATGAAAAAAAAAATTCGATAACTTTTGTTTTTCGGATGACATGCCCGCTGAACGTATTTATTGATCACCTTAAATCATAAATCGAATAAATCAACAAAAATTATATAACTATTAGGCATTAGCATTATTACATATTTATATTATTATTATTATTATTTTATCGTCTGACGGCCAAAAATTGAGAACGTCGTTATTATATTGAGTTAGGCTCGACGTGAAAAGAAAAACAACACAACCATTTATTATATTATAATTTAATATAAAAATTAATTCAGAAACAAAAATGTACGCGTATGTAGTAATAATCAATAAAATGACGTTTACCTGCCGATGAATTTTTCGATGTAAACAGCCACAGTCCACGGACCCTCCTCGCGACGGACCGAATAACAAATAACTCGAAACTATAAGTAGGTAGGTACTATAAAAGAAAAATATTACTATATTTGCTGCTGGCACTTTATAAAATATAATATTACAACGATATTGTTATTTAATATTTAATAATACGTATCGAACCGAACGCGGCCACTCGAGTTGGACCGACGTGTGTCGCGGCGGCGGAATGAGACGTCGAAAACGTTCCTGGCGACGACGGCACAGCGCGGGTGAAAAACCGTGAACGAAATGTCCGGAAAAAAATTCGGTACCTAAGACGCGGTACCTGCGCAATAGGTATATTAATGGTATCAACAACAAATATTATATTATACGTGTTTCGTACGTTTCGTATCCGTTCTCGTCTGAGCGCGCGCTCGTGCAGGTCCGCCGCGGCTGAATGTCAAACCGTTTGTAAGAGCGAAAAAAATATTCTACACCATCGCGATGTGTTGTATCGCGTGACCGGCACATGGACGCGTGGACGCTATTCGCTGAGTGGGCTTCTGGTCGTACGCGCGCCGCGGCATGCTCAACAGGTCTCGGTCAAAGAGTTTCATGTGCACTTGAACGCTATAATATTATACGAGCGTAGGTTAGGTAGGTACAGGGTGATTCAAGGAGCGTGCTCGCCCGGTCACCCCGTCGTTTCTTTCCCCCGTCATTAATGAGTGTATCCAAATTTTGATTTTTGGAATTTTTAAAGCTGCTTTTTTTCTTCTTTACACGACTCAAATTATCTATAACATTCTTGACATTACCAGCTATACTTATAAGGAGTGTCCTGTACAACGGGTCTCGGTAAAAGAGTTTCGCGTGCACTTGAACGCTATACGCGCGTTGGTTTGGTACAGAATGATTCACAGCGTGCTCATTCCCGTTTTCCCCCCATTAATAATAAAATTATTCAAATTCTAATTTATTAAAAATTGTTACTAATTACAATTAGACCATACTTTAAAATTCTTGACATTTTTAGTAGGAATTACTTGTGAGGAGCCTGTCATGTGGTGATACAAACTTCTATTTAGAATGACAACCTGACAACCCCATTCCCCCTTTTTTTTTCGAAAATACTTTTGATGTACAAATTCAAAATTTGAAAGAGTAGTTTTTCAGTTATTAGAATGTTTAAAATAAGAGAATATAATAGTCCTCAAAAATGATGTAATTATATTTAAAATAGTATATAATATTATTATGCTAGGGCCATTTTTACAAATTATAATTATTGATGGCTATCTAGATTAATTACTAACACTTTTTTACCACCATAACCCCCCTATCTTCTAAACCCATTATCATGGGCCTATTGGCTATTATCCTTAGGTTAGGTCAGCCTATATACAAAGTTAAATAACTCAAAATCTAATCGTTCGAATTTTGATTTTGATACTACAAAATGTACAGAAAAATAATTTGCTGAATAATGTATTGTAGGAAAGGAAACATAGATAGTTTTCTCATTTGAAAAAAAGGAGTTTGTATCTCTACAGGACACTCCTTAAGTAGCACAAAAAGACCTTAAGAAGTTGAAAGTATAGTCTATTTAAAAGTTCTAAAAATTAGATTTGTAATAACTGTATAATTGAAGAAATGCACTGTTTATTCCAATTCTTATTTTTTAAATTTTTGAGTACCTACACATTTTTCACCAACATAATATATGATAAACCTATATTAAATATATAGTATTATTTATTATATATTATATAGGTAAATTAAATATAGTAATAACTAATAGCTAAGGTTATAAAAAAAGATCTTATAAAAGCTATCGGCCAATCAAGGTATTAATATTAAAATACTATAATATATAATATATATATTTTATTAGGAAATACTGAAATAGGTAATTTAGTAATTAATAGTCATAACGAAAATTACAGTTGTCGCTTGGAAATTAATTCATGATGCACTAAAAAAACTAGCCATTATAAAATGAAATTTTCTTGTATAGTAAAACAGTACGCAGTAGTTATAATAATATTTATATATTATTTAATATAAAAGATTATCTAATAAGTAGCCCTGGTCGAAGAAATAACATGAATGAATAATGATATTAATATTTTTATTCTTGATTACCAAATAATTTATTTATAGAACGTGCTAAAGAGGGATGTCATATCCCCAAACACCACGCATGTATACTGCACTATAGGTACTGAAAAACCATAGGTATTGTTGATTTTAGACACTAGGATTTTTATAACATTCATCCACGATTCATCATTCTCGTATATAATGACAAAAAACTTCTCTCTTTTTTTCGTTCAAACGAAGATCACTCATTTTACCGTAAATTTTCAAGCGGATACATTTTTTTTTAAACGTCGATAAGTCTAAATAAAAATTTAAACGATTAGATTTTGAGTTATAAGTTTTGTAAAATATAATACATGTCATTTTTAGTAAAACAATTGTACTAAATTATACTATAACACATGATGGAAACTACTTATTAAATGGCATAGGTTAACCTGATAATTTCTGATAATTCAAAATCAGAATTTTGAATAAATTCATTATTAATAGAAAAATGGGGGTGATTATTCTTTTTGAACCACTCTGTATAGGAACAGCAATACTCACTACCCAGTTACTTTCTTTCCGTATTATAAATTATAATAATTTAAAAAAAAACTATCGACCTAGTACCTATCTATTTGGAATCCGGATCCTTATTTTTGCTTATTATACTGTTATAATTGTTGAGATTTTCTTAAGCTTACAGCACATATGAATAACTAGTTTTAGAAAAGTCTATACTCAATATAAAAACAATTTTAGAGTCCGAGTACAAATCCATATAATTAAATCATTTTGATGATTTCCATGGTTATGAAAATATATTGAAAACATTTGGGTAGAAAACTCATATTATTCCTTTCATTAGACCCGGCTTTTGATTAAGGGGCAAAATGTAGGCAATTTCTAGTCATGTGAAGAGGTGGCCGTAAAATAGGCCTTGCAAAAAAATAAAATGAAACCATTTCAGCAACCATAAACGGATAAACGTATTTGCAGGAATAACTATCACATCGTTGAATAGTCGGATTATTTATTTTTATTTTAAAAAGGGAGAATATTTATTCGGGTCACATTGGACTCAAATTTTCGAATTTGACTTTAAATAATGCCATAAAAATATATTTCAAAATATTTAGCAATTTGTGATAGCTAGTCTACGTTTATTAAAACTTTTGAAAATAGATTTTTTTAAATCTTACGATTAAAAAATAAAAAATATTGAAATCTTACTATTTTAAGTGCAAGTTTTTCCTGTAGGCTGTGAGTCAAGTTTTTGTTCTATAAAATCCCTTCGAAGCCAATAAGTAGGTACATCATATTCCAATTATGAGCTTATAATTAATAAATGTGCGTGTTAACCAAAAAAAAATTTAAAAATACACCCATGCATGTTAAGTTTCGACAGAGGGAGGGGGCCAGTTGAACCTAGAATATAGGGGCCTGGCTATTTTAGGGGCCCGTCAAAATGAATTTTAATTTTTAAAATTTTGATAGGAATACTTATTCTATATTAAATAATATTTTATGACATAAAATAAATGTGGTTTATAATAATATATTAATTCATTTTATTGGAAGTTTTGTATAGGGCCACAAAAAATATTTATAGTACGTCGGCCAGCAATTCGATGTTGGGAGCCTGTGCGCAGATACATTTATGCTTTACAAATTACTAGGTACTGTATTAAAAGAATTTTTGTTTTGTCCCAATGGATTTGTGAATCACGAATTAAAACTATTTATAGAGTAACGTATCATAATATAAAGTGACCCATTAAGTATAAACTTTTTTAAAAAACGAATAAATCAGTAAAATGTTTAATGAAAATGCATTTATTTCTATATATTTACATTTACGATTTGACAATGAAAAACAGTATTCGCCATAATATGAACCCATTCCAAATACCAAAAATTTAAAAAATGTGACAAATTTAAAAAGTGCGTTCTTTGTGGTACACTCTGTATAAGTTATTAATAATCGTATTATATAATTCACGCCATAATACGTATTTTAAAATTTTAAATATAATAAAATATACCTATTTATTGTACAAAAAAATGATAAATTCGACCATTTTTTTTCTTAAAATGTATTATAGTATAATTTAAAATCATTACAATTTATATTTTAAACCCTATGTTATTTTGTATGAGTATCTTGGACTTAACATAATATTATATTATTTATAATTTTAAGATAAACTTCAATATTGTGATGTAAATAAATTATGATAATATGACACACAGTTTAGTTTACAACTTACAACGCATTAGAAAACTAATATAATATTATTGTCTATAAATATTAAATATATTATCGTAATAATACAATGACATCATGATCAATTAAAACATAATACATGCAACAAAATATAATAATAAGTGTGGCATTCTAGTCAGTTTTTACAATATAATGAGGTAATAAAAAACTATACATAATATTAAAATTGATTTAATAGCAAATCATTAGGCAAGTTTATCTATATTACATAATATACATAATATCTTTGTACTTTTTGTTTACAATTAATATGTACTTTACTATCCATCGAATCGGCAAAAGTTATCTGGATCTTCGTATGCGACGTAAAATGTCCCTCTAACCCTAAAACATACACAATATACTACAATTTTATATTTAAAATTTACATATAGGTTATAATTTAATATTCATCGTTATTTGAGATTACCGACTGATTACAATATTGGGAATAAAAATAAAAAGCAAGGGCAACTGGCAGCTCGAAGGAGATATCACGTAGGTAAATAGGTAATCACGTGGTTCAAAAAAATATTAATGAGTGGGTGTCCTATAGGGTTGGAAAAGGTAGTTTGAAAATGTTTCAAAAATTATTTAACCACTAACTGCCTATGAATTATTATTTGGAGAGCAGTGAATAAATGTTTAGGGTGGGTGATGTAAAAATATATGAGCGAGTAATATATGAGTGAAGAAAAAAAAAATTTTAAGCCACCACTAAAAATAAGTACCTAAACACATTTTCTAAATTAACAATGACCTTAATATACGTAAATACGTTCATGTTTTTGCTGTTGTATGACGTATAGGTAGTTACCTACTATAATATTTAACTATCACTTTTGTGATATCTTTATTCTATACTATATTATATCTAATTCAAAGTCACAAACAACTATTTAAGCGTCTGGAAAAAAAATAGAAAACTCATACATAATAATTAATAATAACAATAATTGTTCGATTACATTCAGCACGAAATACCAAAAGCTAAAATATGAAAATGTCAGTTGTGAAAAAGAAAACTCATATTAATTGTACGAACATATATGGTAAATTATTGTCTCCGTGATTATTCCATAAACAATAATAATAAATATCAAAATAATGATATACATCCGTAATTTATTATTTACTATGTACACGCATTATAAGTTATTATAATACATCGCCTGGCAAGTATAATATATAATGTAAGTACCTACAGTTATTCAGTGATTTCCAAGAATGGTCAATTCCATTTTCCTTTAATAACGCATTTATTTAATTAAATACATTTCTTATGCTATTTAACGGAATGTACCACGTCGATACAAACTTATTTTTTTTGCATGTGGGATACGAGAACTGCGTATTTTCACTGTAAATTGTACGACATCAAGAAAATCACAGAAAATGTCAATGTGTATAAATTGAAATTCAAACCAGTAGTTTCTGAGTTATAACTTTATGTAGGTATTAAGGACAATAGTTCATGGTAACAGGTTTAGAAGATATTATAATAATTAGACTGCTTATTTTCGGTATAGTAATATTAATTAATTTAAATTGTATAGTTTATACACGTTGTCCAAGTATGATCATTCCAATACTAAAATATATTTAATCAATTTTATTTTTAATAATATAATATAAATCCATTAAGGACATTATACTTAGTACACAACGTTTAATAAACAATTAACTACTCGTTTGAATTTTGATCAACATTTTTTATTTTTTTTTTTAAACAGGTGTACCTAAGAATAATGAGGCTCATTAGAAAAAATAAGTTCATAATGCCCAAGTGTACTTCTAAAATTACATAAGAAATAAAAGTATTTGAAAATATAACAAATGCATTATTCGAGGATAAAAATGGGCAAGTATTGTTGGTGAATCACTCTGTATAATAGTACTCTAAAAAATGTTTCTATACGTCCGAAAACTATTTGTTCGTTTTCTTTTTCAGAACTTAAAAGTGTAATTTTCATCTATTTTAAATAACTTGTTAATCGAGTTGTTAATACTTTAATAATTTAATTAAAGCGTTGAGAATGATGTATTTTTTGGTTCCAAATATAATATAGTATAGTTACTTAGTTTTTAGCCGGCACAATTAAAGGTTTAATCGGGTTAATTAATTTGAAAACAATTATACAGTAGCCAGTAGGTATACCTACTTTGATTTTAAAATAATTAAGTAGGAACTTAATAAAAACAGAATACGGCACTAATGATGATTGGAAATTAAAGATGAAAATAAAGACGTCATTAAGCCCATAATGTAGAGCATGTGAGATGTATTTTCAAACATTTCATTCTGTACGAGTATATTATTATACTGCAACTCTAACGATTCAATGCTTTTCATTAGAAGGAGAAAAAAAATATCAGCATCTGTATAATATACGAATACGGAATAACTACCGTATACGATAAGCGGACCCGAACCAAATAAGTTCATTACAAAAACGTACAAAACACTTGAACACTACCTAGGTAGTAGGTATATACCTACATGAAAATAAACATTAAACACGCACGTCAAAAAGCCTATTTTTTAATCCCACGGATCGTGTGCACATTGACTACATGACTACACGCTCTGATTGTCTATATCGACAATTCTAATGGTTAGCTGTTACTTGTGTATATGTATTTAAAACAATTGCTTTTGAGTTTCACATCGACGTAATATTTTAGTATATTATATATTATAATGTCAGTTTTGACCAAACAAAAACGAATGCCTTTTCTCCTACAACTTTACTCTATATTCAACGCTACGATTAACCCGCATACTCGTATTATAATATCATGATAAGTGACGGATAAAATATGAATGACCTATAAAATATATTTCTTATATTGTCATGTAATTATATTATTGACCTATACTGCAGTAGGTGTATTGGTATTAGAAAATTCGATGTATGTTTATTGAAATGTATCATTTTTAAATAATTATAAACATAAATATTTTATCCTTATTAGCAATTATCTTTATCATAGATCTCTTTTATACCCAACACTGCAGAAGGTTTATTATACGTAAAAATGTAAAAATAGTTTGTATTATTTATTTATATCTAAAAGTTAATAGTCATAAACTTACAGCAAGAGAAAATTGTTTAAAGTTGGTTATTGTATCGAATACTAAAAAATAATATTGACAAATAATAGTTGGATAGTATTATATATGGACCTAACTGATATAAGTGATAAATCAACCGACAATATAGTACCATTTATACATCTAATCTATAGCAATTAACATATTATAGTAGTTTGTAAACCTTGGTCATTCATTATCGATATTTTTTGTGTGTAATCACTAATCAGTAATCATTTATAATCATCTATAACCAAATACTTACCTAAGTATTAAAGGTAAAAAATATTTTTCAAAATTGTATAGAAATATTTCAAATTCAGAACCCTCCAACTAACTGGAATTAATGTAATTTTTCGTTATCGTAAATAATATATATTTTATACGATTAATCTTATATACAAAATGCAACTTTGTCCACAACCAATTACAACTATACATGCATTTGATACACTCCTAATAATAATTACCATTCTGGTGTTTGTAGGCCCATGGGTATGACATCGATCCGATTCGAAAATGACGGAAGCATCACCGAGTCGCAAGTTTCCGTGCATTGTACTCCCAAAAACTTGTTGCGCCTTCTCGATAGTGACAATGCATAATAACAAACGCTCTTGAAATGACTGCACCGCGATTGTTCTGAACATACATTTATCGAAAAAAAGTGTCGTCATTGATGTACAGATCAAGGTCAAGCCGTACCATTATCGTGATGCAATACGAAATTTTGTACACAATATATTATATTATTATAATAAGTATAACTTCAAAAGTTACATTTTTGGATTTATGATAGGTATTTTTTTTAACGTTTTTATTTTACGACATTTTCTATAAGACCATATCGATAAATGTGCTACGGCTACCAGGCTACCAATTCCTTTTCTTTAGGTGGTTTTTTTTGTTGACATTTTCTGGACGAGCAGACGCAATAATGTTTGAGAATTAATATTAGGTACTTATCAAATGTCGTTTTTTGAGTACCTAGTTTCCAAGCGGCTGAGGTAGTATTATAATATGGAATAAACAACGACCTTGAGGATTCCTTAAGCTTTCATAAAATCCTAAGCCCTAAAATATAGTGAAGCTTCCTACTGTCGCTTAGCTATACTTTCGCCTTCTAACAGTCAATATCGTAGGCTCATACATTATACATAGGTAAACACATAAAAATATTAGATGGGTATCGTAAAGTGGGTATTCGTCGGAAACAAAAATAAAAAATTCTTCATGGTCCGCGGAAACACTACCACGTGCGTCTTAAGATTTACTCAAATGCAGTTTTTTATGGTGTTTTAAACATATACGATTCCTAATCTAGCATAATTAGGTGGGTTTCGACAATCTACATAATAATTATGTTGTGCTAAGGCTAACACGTTGGACACAAATTCTGATGTTGTGTTACATATATCATATTATACCGTGTGGTACCGTATGGTATCTATACTTATCTCAGAGATAAACATCGTCCATATATGTGTTTTAGCCCAACCGGAGCTGCCATTAAACACCCATTACGTTTTTACAGAGAAAAAAAAATTGATAATCTCCGCATTATGATCTCTCTCTAAGTTTACACTAATAATAATAATAATAATAATAATAATAATAATAATGAGGTTGGTATGATGCGTAACGTTAATGAAGTGTTTTCTTCTTTTTTTAGCATACATTTAGTATAATAATTTGTTCATTCGACAAAAGTATCGCGTGCACACTGTGCAGCTGTATAACGTTTCCGTTGTCCTTTCACGTCGTTAACCGAAACACTCTATCATGGATAAACACTTCATCTGCTATAAGAAGGTTGAGCAAATTAATGAAAAAAATTAAGTGTGACCGAGTTAGTTAAAAGAATGTGAATCTAGGAGTTAATAATCAATATTAGAGTTATACTTAAAGTTACAAAATATAAAAGTTTAAAGTCGATATGGAGAAAATTATTAATTCAACTCAGTTAAAAAGAAGTTGAATGGTTTTTGTTTTAATTACCACCTGGGCCACATAATACTATGTGTACCTAATATGTATATTACATTGGTTGTGCCACTTTTATTTTTTTTTTTTAAATAATAATCAAAAATGTCGTTAAAGATGCATCCTATACTTTTTATTGCTCATTATAGCTTTAGTGATTTAGACAATGACACGTTAGCGTCAACAAAATTATTGAACCGAGGAATATTTATTTATATTTAAAATCATTATAATATAGTAGACTCCGCTTCACGGAGATACCAGTTAATTAGGCCAACCGCTTAATCGGAATCATTCTTCAATTACAAAAATAAACTTATGACTGTAGTGTAAATGTTCATGTTTATCTGGGCCACGAAAACGAATAATTGGGACATTCTTGTCTATATCTATAGACCTATTAGTGCTTTTGACTTTAGTTCAGACTACATCGTCAACAATCAGTGAAGAGTAATAAACAAAGTTCTATTTATCACTTTTTTGTTAAATTAATATGTACTTTTTAGGTTTCTAAACATAAGTTTATAGTTAACGTAATATGTTATAAAAATATTCTTCTATGTATATGGTTTAATAAACTGGTACCTAGCTATTACAAAAAACACATTGTTATGTTTATTTTTGGGACAAAATAATATGTAGCCAATGTTTCCCAATAAAGCGAGAAGTCTACTGTATATATTATATTAAAAAGGTTGATTGGACAAAAAAGTAATTACCTAATTAATTAGTTTTAACTATAATTGTAGCAAATAGTATAAACGTGATTTTGACTTAACGTATTATTCTTCAAATTAACTGGACGAAGTTGTTACATAATGGATTCTTCAACTGGCTTGGACGCTAAGTTAATTATAAACTTAGGTAAATATAACTAGTAAATGTAATCTTAACTCTTAAGTGTTAAAAATTTAAAAATGAAATAATACTTTTTTAACTAATTTAAAGGTTTAAGCTAAGGCCATATTTGTGCTACACAAAGTATCAAAACAACGATGTGCACATGGGCACAAAACAAATGCTTTTCAACACGATGTAAAATATATATTGATATCCGGTAAGCTTTATAAAAGTATTTGTGTTTAGACGTAAAGTTACATGTGAAGTTTATAAGTTTTGTTTTTTGTAAAATGTATCTTTGAAATGGAATTTCAAAATAATAGTCAACCGACCTAACAAGCAGTGGTTTCGTCATATTTTAGAGCACAGTGCATCACGTTCGTTATCCAGACATGTTTATTAATTTTTGAAATCGTTCTTTTATTCCTACGATTTTTTGCACTGGTTTTCTGAGAACATTACAGCAACGAAAATAAACCAGAAATTGTGTTTGTAGTTTCTAAATTTATCTAAATTTGTGACAAACTCATGCAAGTAAATGTTGTGAATGACCCTCGATATATTATAGTCATGTGACAACGCATTTGATTATAAATTCGGATAACTACAAACAAAAAAGTACACATTTACGAATTTTTTTGAAATATCCACAAAATAAAAATGGTACAGAAAACATTATTGTTAGTTTGGATATTTAAATATTTAAATTACGATTTTGTTTTTCATTTTCATTTAAAATTTATAACGTAAACCAAAACTATGCATGGCCATTATTTTTGTATTATTATTATATATTATTATTTATTATTAATACCCCGAAGGTAAAATTAAGTAAGCTTAGGGATGCCATACGTCCCGTATTATACGGGAACGTCCCGTAATTCATGACAGTGTCCCGGTGTCCCCGTAACAGATCCAATATCGTAAAAATGTCCCGTATTATGAAATTCTCGTCCCGTATGTCCCATAAAAATAGAATACATTATTGTTTAATATTTGCATATATTATATTATATTCAAAATGTGTTTTCAAATGTCGAGACAAAAATATTTTTAACCACTGATTGACTGATAACATATTATTAACATAAATGTTTCTGGTCTATGCGTTCCTATCACTTACCGTTCGGTAAACAATTTGGAATCTGCAATTCTTAACTTCAATACCCAAAGTCAAGATTGTGAATTACTGCATACTCGTTTCTTATCACTTATCAGTTATTCATAGTTTTCATTTGAATTTGATAGATATTTATTTAAAAAAAATAAATATTTTGTTCCTATCGTTTCTGTTCTTAGCCTAATATTTTTTTATTATAAACTCTAACAAAAGCAACTATGCCTAAGGTTAAAAAGAAAGTGCGTTTTTAATGAAAATTTACATTTTTTCTTAATTGTGAAATGTTTTGTGCCATATTTTTATATGGTTTCTTAAAAATCGTTTTTTCACAAAATAAACTGTGTAACACTTATCAGGCTCTAACATACTGGAATGGTAGGTACCAAAAGGCCAACGTTTCAACACCCCACCCCCCCCCCCCAACCATTATTTAATTGTTTACAGTATTGTCCCGTATTTTTTATTTTGAAATCTGGCATCCCTAATGTAAGCTCAATGCATCTTCTCAGAACCGGTTGATGAATCTATGATTTAACTTTGACCATAATATTATATTAATTATATTGTAATATATATCATACCAGATAATTCGAGAGAAACGAGATTTGCTCCCAATGACTCAATGACTGTTGTTACAATTTCTCTGTCAATTTCACTTAGGTACTATTTAGTTATTAATTTTTTTATTACACCTATGATTGATTGTAACGTTGTCTATGTGCATTTTATTCCATATAATATATATAAACGTAATACATGTTGTTGCTAACTGTTATAAAAATATATATATATATTACGTATGATATTTGCTTGGCTAGTGCAAATTGGTTGCATGCGACCACCGTTTACGCAAAAGTCGACATGTCCTATCTGAGGATACTCTCCGTAAACTCCAGAGTTTGTGTGTATGACCTCTACGAAATCAGCATCGTCCCTAGTCAATCGAAATTCGTCCATCGTAAACAAGTCTACCAGAGGTTTTGCCGGATCTAAACCTGTAACATTAGTGAACGCTTATAATAATAAAAAAAAAAAAAAATGATAATAAATACGTTTTCCTTAAACATTCTACACAAAACACGCAACCGCGTAATTTGTGTTGCGTTTTTTACACTTGGTAATCAACTTGTTCGCTCACGTTTGAAAACAATGACTTGCCAGAAAATCTGATCATAAATATTGGTGTTCGGGTAACTGATTATAAAACCTACCATATTCAAATGTGGTTCTTACATCTATACTTATATTAATATTATAGTAGTATATACTTATAATATAATACAACTGAAGAGTTTGATTGTGTTTTTGTTTGAACAAATCGACGTGTTATTATATAAGAAAAATCCATTTTAGATTCTGACCAACTCCGACGAATGTATTGGTCGAGTCATATATGTGTATGATATATGACGTGATTTTTTTTCGTATTTTTTCATCTTTTTGGTAGAAAATTGGATCTAGTTGGTACTTTGAGGTTAAATATTTTCAATAATTTTCAAAAAACTAATTTTTAAGAAAACCAGCAAAAATGAACGAAACTGTTGCAGGGATTGCATTTTTTACCCAATATTTATATTAGCATTTTCTAGGTAATTTTCAAAATATTTTTACTCTTTTTGTAATTTTTTTTTTATAGATGATCATATAAGACCCTTTAATATTATGAAATAAATAATATAATTTAATGAATACGATTTGTTTTTAGAAAAGAATTTCACCTACTAAATTGTACCACTAGTACCTAGTAATATAAATAAAATATTATTTTAATATTAAATATACTTTGAAAAAGGACATTTAAGTAGACCGCTCAGAATAATTTTGTCTTGTGCAACGATTTATCATTAGATTTAAATTTAATACATCCGTTACAGTGACCTACTCAACGACAAGGTACACTCGACATCTACAACTATACATCAGAGCGATTTTCCCAGTTTTTTAACATTTAATTTGGATGCGAATAAATTATAACAATTTTTTGTTTCTCTCAAATGTAAACGAATAATATAAAGGAGTCCTTATAGTGAAAATAAAAGTGGTGTACTTATTACCTACTCGCTTTTCAAAGCCAATTTCTCGTAAATCATAATAAACGATATATATATTATATAATATGCATTGAGCGAATAAATGGCAGGATGTCAATCAGGATGGTTGTGTCTATCGCTTCAACTCATTCGAAACTTGAAAATTGTAATATCTACTTCCGTCGGTCGTTATTTTCCAGTTAACGCCTATTGGGGTCAGTAGAAATGCATCTCTCATATAGTTTCCAACGACTAATACCATTTTAATTATTAGTGATCTGCACTGATCATTTTGTATATTAGTATAGGTATATCATACTTAGTTATTTACGTAGACATATTGAAATATTATTCAGACATCACTACAATGTGGACATTAAATAAGTAGGTAGTCAGGCTGAAGTGAAATTAATTTAATTGAGATTAACATAAGATTTTCAAGTGTGATCCACATCAAATTAATATAGTAATATACACATTTTCTCAAACGCAATGGCATTATATATTATTTATTATACACCTACGACAAGCGTTCGAATGCATGGTTTTCAAACGAAAGCACTCGGCACTCACTAGTGAATACCTAGTGACAATAGTAAATAGTTAGGTGGGTAAGTACTTGATTTTATGTGTCTCGTCGTACGTCAAATTGACGCGAATTACAAGTCTTCAAAAGAGGGTGGTGCTTACTGGTCCCAAATGTGCAGAGTTACAAACCACACCAGGGTCATAGATGGTATAGGTAATTTTTAACTAATTTATATTATTTTTGCCTGCATATTGTTCTCGATAAATATAATACACAATACACTTATAGGTATAAGTCAGGAGCTGTGTCAATCCAACCTAACTCAACATCGCCATCGTCGTATATATTATTTTTTTTTTACTCACCGATGATCTTGTGCTGTCTCTCCGTCAAGTGATTGCTTATCATGCCACATATGTGAGCCCCGAGACTGTGGCCGACGCAGTGTATTTGGTAAGCAGAAGCACCTGAATAAGTGAGATGGGCGTAAAGTTGAGCGGTGCACTGGCTCACTAATCTCGTGTTTCTCAGCGACGACAGGTAACAGGGGTACACGGTCAACGGACTCCAGTCCACCATGAACACGTTAAAGTCTCCGCGCATCAAGTAGGCTGCGTGTGAAATAATATACAGCAATTATAACGATAGATGTAATGTAAAATCGATTCATTCTTATACACTTATACGATTTACAATAATATAACATTAAGATTTGAAGTTGCTCGACACTGAATCAGATTTCATCGGAAACGTCACGTCAGATTGGATCGGAAGTGAATCTAATATAGTTGGACGAAAATATTTATGCGGATTCCGGGGTTTTCCGAAAGCAAGCGCTTGAGTGTTCGCAGATAAAATACACTACATGTGCTGACTCATAAACGTTTGATCATTTTGTACTCTATAGTCTAGATGTATATATTGTTTTCGATGTTCATGCCTATTTCATTTAATTTAATATCATTACTTGGTTTTTAATAGGTGTACATATTTTAATTAAAAATTAAAAATGTCTGTAGATGAAAAAATATAAAGTGTGAGGCTGTATTATGATATCGTCCATTGGACGAAATTTGACTTTAAAACTATTTAACTGTAAAATCAATATTCAACAGCCTCTAAAGTAGTGGCTATTACCTGAAATTTCTTACGTCACACTCAGTTCGGTATCTATGGTTGTGCTACTCCTTTTATTTTTATGATCGTTTTATATGAAAAAAACAGGTATTTCATATAATCATATTACATATTATTATATTTTATCCGTTTAAGCAGGTTTCTAAACAGAAGTTTAGAACACTTATTATACCTATACCCGTTGTTCCCGTCCGTCGCAAACAATAATTAACAAAAACAAAAAAAAACACTTGCGTATTAATAATATTTGGTAAGTCGTACATATTATTATGACTAAATAATGAAGGATAATACTTGGGAAGAAATTACAAAGAACAGGGTTAATCAGGGTTAATCAGGGTTTTCTTATTTTTCTACCAAGATATAGCTAGAGTTAAAATCACGGGGTCTTCATCACTAATTGTATTACTCATTATATTATATATTTAAAACTGATATAAACATCTCAATTATAAACATCATTCACGGGTATCGACAACAAAATTCGCCTATATAGCATACGGGTTGCGAAGTTCCGACTTGTTCCGACACTTGTGTGCACTGTGCCGACAAAATTCGTTCCGTTCCGATGTTAGAAATTCGATTCCTATCCAATCCGATCCAGTGGGCGCCAACCTTGCGTGCTTGTGTATTATAGATATTTATCATTAGCGTTATGAATAATATATACTACTACTACTATTATAGCCGCAAATAGCAGTGGTGGCTAGCCTCCCCCCTCCAAAAAAAAAAACTGAAAGATTTTAAGCACACATTGGAATATATAAAAATATTTTCAACTCTAAGCAAAAATCTTTAGCTTCTCCCCCAAAATTCGAATTCTCAACACTATTTGAGATTACTAATACAACTAATAATAATAATATAGTAGACATGACTAGATAGTTAATATTATATCGTTAAGTGTGTGACTGTGTCATATAGACAGTTCCACCTAAAACAGGCGTGTCCAACCCTCGGCGGCCCATGGTAGATTTTGATGCGGCCCTCACTTCAATTTAAAAAACCAATAACTAATAAATTGTATCTAATAAATTAATATTACGAAAAAAATTTATTTTAAAAATATAAAACTACAAAACATTAAACATCAAATAAAGGATAAACTTTATTAGTGTTTTACCTTTTTTGGCTCCGATAGTAATGTCATTTATCAACAAAAATATTTCTGCTTATTATTCGCTATAGTAAAATTATAAAAAAAATGTATTGTTGTATTATAGAATATAATTTAATCATTCAATTTGAATGTATTATTATTAAAAAGTATATGTGGCCCACAACAACTTCTACCCATAATATGATGTGGCCCAGTCTTCACAAAAGATTGGAAACCCCTGACCTAAAGTGATCGTAGTGCCTTATAGAACCAAATGTTTATTAGATTCAAAACTAGAAACCCAAATTAAATCTTAGCATGATCATTGATTGTATAATCAATGGTATGATTAATAGGATGTTATCAAAAATGTACCTGAATATCGTTTGGGAGCATTTATCAAAACATGTTAGGGTGTAAGATAGCAAAAGACACGTTATCAGCCCAAAACTCTACAAATTTAAAAGTACCTAAACAACATTGTAAGAAAAACATTAAAAAATACCTACTGAAGGAAAATGTAAGTGTTTCTCTATGTAAAAGTTAGGAAAACAATAAAATAGGTAGTAAAAAAAAAATAAATACATCGAATTAGTTATATGAAAAAAAAAATAGGACAACGTTTTGAGGCAAAAAAAATAATAAATTAACAACATACAAATAAATGGAAAATATCACCTATTATTATCTCAACTCATCAGTACAGATAATAGTAGACATAATATACTAAAAGTACAAACATATTTTTGAAATACTATTGAGCTAACCTCGTTGGTAATGTCAATATAGGCTCAAAATTATATGCCCCCAAATGTGCTTATGCAGAGGGTCGTAATATTACCCTTTAAGGTGTTGTGTTTGGGGCAAATGTATAAAACGATTAAACTATTTTAAACTGTCAAACACCGCGATGGCGCCGCAGACATATAATATACGTTTGATAATCGTTAACTGCAAAGAATAGGTAACTAATTATTATTTAATATATTATATTATTATAATATTGTTAACTCTAAAAAAAACAAGATATTACCGTTTCTCAGTATGACCATGACCCTATTATTTTCCGCTCCGTTAAACCCGTGTATGACGATAACGTTCTTTTTATTTGGGTTCCAACCACTGTTGTACAACGACCACTTGTCTCTCATATCGATTTTAGTCCTTCTCTTGAGATCACTATAATATGTACACACACACAATAAGAATACGTATTATATAATTATTGTTTTACAAACCGTCAATGAAACGTTAGTAATCGGTCACACGATCGTTCGTATGCCGAGAGTTTCGATCGTATATTAAAGTTTATTAAAATTAAAAAAAAACACCTCATGTACAAGTAAAACGTCACGTCGGGATCCGGACACTGAAACGTTTGTTTGAATTTGCATCTCCAATAAGTCAAATCGCTAGAATCGAAAAATACACCTGAAACTGTTTTCACAAATAAATTATCGGTGTTGTTTAAATAGTAAGTACTGAATAAAAAAAAAACCTCACAAAACATTAATTTAGCGTGAATGTCCATTAAATAATGGAGTGTGTTATTATTTATTTTTAAGGTTAAATATTTATTGTAATACCAACTCGTAACGAATTGAAGACGGCTTCGATTCGACTGGAATAAAATGCTTTGATTAATATAATATTTTTGGGCATGTTGCGTGTACATAGATGGTGTGATATTAACCAATAGACATACATACACATCCCAATAAGCACGTCATATATTGTGAAGAAATAAAAAATCATCGATACAATTCCTCGAATGTTTGGCAATATAGCATAATTATTCTTATTCGGGTTAATCTAATCAATTTGATTTGTTTAAACAGTAATACACCGCGAGCCATGGAACAATTTAATTTATACGTTTTTCGTACATAACCTGGGTAAAAGCGATAAGTAATACCTAATAGCACGAAACGACGATGTAGGCACCACAGCGTTTCGTAAATTATGTATTTCAATGCAATTATCATATTTATTAATATGACTGCAAACGAAATTGTCGAGGATTATCAATGTATATAATATTATAGTATTATATTAGTATAATATATTGTTAGTAAAAAAAAGTATTGTTTAACAAAATAAACAATGGGGTTACCAATGACCTAATGGTTGACCCAATACCCACTGAGCAGACGTTGTTGCTCAAGGCATAGATGATATAAAAGAAAACTCGACTTTTGACGTGGCTACGGTACAATCCAAACGGCTCCTGTCAAAAAAGGTTTCACGAATACGTAATTTCCCAAACGGCTCCGGTATTCAACAACAGAATTTTTTTATAATTTGTTTTACTTTGCACATCAAATTTTAAAAACACCAAACCATTTTCAATTTATGATTTATATTACCAATATGATTGCTTATATTATAACGCCAATTATTACAAAATGTACTTTGCATATAAAATTTAAAAAACAACAATAAGTTTTTAACCACACCACTTTTGCGTGAGTCCTAAGTCAATATGAAGTGGTAAGAAATTTGTGTTGTCAAAAATATGAGCCGTTTGGGAATTTACCTTTTTGTAAAACGGGAGCCGTTTGGAAAAAATCAAAAATAGAATCCAAATGATTAATGTGATATAGCCGGCATATGCCAGAGAGAGATGGGGAGGGTTTGTGATGACAGCTTTCGCAATAGTACTCAATATTGTGGCCCGGAAATCCGAAGAAGAATATTATTCAGAACTAATATAGTTGCGAAAAGAAAATATCTCAATTATTAAGGTATTTGTGCTAAGATTATTTTAATGTATCAATTTGAAAGTGTAAATAAATCAAGTTACCGTCGTTAATGACTGAACATAACAATATCGAAACCACTGCTTCAATTACAACAGATTTCTTCTTCATCATTTTCATTCGGCCTCCTATTATTTTCGATTTATGTGATTTTTTGGTAAACAGTTTAAATAATAGGTTATGAAGATAACTGCATTACTTAAAATCATGGCAAGTTCTAGAAAATATACATACATTTACATTATTTTAATATAACAATATTAATAACACATTGAATTTAATTACCTACTACACAACTACTGATCTAAGCTATTACTACAAGTATATTTATGTATTATTTATGATTCATGAAAATACTAAAAATATCCATTCCCATTAATATTTTTATCAATCTTTATAAAAATATAATATGTCAAACAGCATCTAAAAAATTAATATTTTCTTTAAATTAAACCCACAATTCCGCTGTTGTATACAATATTATCAATCACTTTTAATTTTCTAATGGTAACCAAAATAATTTATTTTGATAATCAACGATATTTTACTTTTATATCTAATACATTTTGTTCCAGTCCGGCCTCGGGCGTCATTTTTCTTCGGGCAGTCACGGTGTCCGGAGAGAAGTGCCCTCACCCGGGTGTGGCAGATACCTACGGATGCCCACTAAAAATTTGCCAAACCAAAAACACACGTGTTTACTAACCTACAATCCCTCCCCTACAAACAAAAACAAACAGCTAATGGCTATAGTTGCCGAGCTTCATGATCAATTAATATTAATATGTAGTTTTGTGGAAACAATAATTAAATTATTAAATTATCAAAATACATTTTGATATCAATAAAATCACGATACTCCAGCTCATAAAAAATTAAGGTCAACACAAACAGCCAAACAGGCTGAACTTTGAACGCCAAACTTTGAACGTCTACCAAAAACCTTCCATACGGTGAACCGTCACAAACTCACAAGTACTCGAGCATACGAGTGTCGTGGCCGTGGTTGTACGTGTTTAAATCGTTCGTTGTTTTATTATTTCCTACCTCATACTAAATTATTAACAGTCGATATATTAATTAAAATTAATTTCCTGAATGTTTTGTTATGTTGTACAAATATCTGACGATGAACAAACGGCTGATTATATTACTATAAATACTTTAAGTTAGAATAATTTATGCACGAACATAATAATTTCCTCCTTTAGAACATAAATTTCGATTTGGTTACCAAAATAAAAACTGTTATTGTACCATTTAAAAATTTAGAGTTCGTGTAGTTGTGGTGTATCCAATAGAGAGGGAAAATATATTAGACTTTTTTCTTATAGATAAATACCTACCTAGTACCTAGTTTACATAATGATTAAAAATAAAATCTTGTTATAAATTTAATATTTTCAAAAATATTTTAAATTTCCAATTTTAAACAAAATAATAATAATTCATAGAAAGAATAAAACTTACTAAAGCGCATTTCCAACTCTTGTAAATTTTATCTTTTATTAGGAGTCACCTTTTCTTTTTTACTTTTTTATATACATTTATAATATTTCTCATATTTGTGTTTTTCATTCGATTATTTAACAGAATATAATGTTTTATTCGATGATTTTTCTGAAATGTAATTTTAATAATAATAATAATAATAATAATAATAATAATAATAATAATAATATTATAAATAAAATAATATTAAAAGTATGGGTAGGATTTATTTTATTCGTCGTAAGAATTAATTGTAAAAAAAAATTTGGAGTTTCTTATGAAAGTGCCAACATAGAACACGATATTAGAAGAAATAAAATTAATCAATAATTTAGTTGAAGAATAATTTCAGTTCCCATGTAATAATTAATTATTATGTAATTTTTTACTATGCCTATTATAATAGGAGCTATAAATATAAACAATACTTAACCGAAATTCGTTTCTATTTTTAGTTTAATTATTATTGTGAAGAGCAAATATAATAAAATTGTTTTCAATTTTCTCCAACTTGCATTACCTACTCCATATTATTATAAACTATTATCATTGTATGTGTTACATTAACAAACAAGTCGGATATTTACTTACTCACCACAGCGATAAGTGATAACTTTAATTCGCTAAAAACCAGTGATAGCATTACGCTTATACAGACATAAAGTCGTCAACAATCCCTTATATATTTTATGCTGTTCGAATATAGGAATAGGTAACAGGTATTACGGACAGGTAAGTGATTAGTCAGATTTGTGCCTATAAATAGATATAGGTATGTACCAAAATGCGTATATATTCATCGAGCATGGTCACCTAAATGTTTTTCCTTTAATAATGAATTTATTCAAATTATGATTTTATGAATTTTTAAATATTATATACCTACTTTAAGATCGTACTTTCAAATTCTTGAGATTTTTTTGTACTATACCTACTTAAGGAACGTCCTTTGGTGACGTTTTTAAAATGAGGACCCCCGCTATCGCTCCATGTATTAGAGGTATACCCAAAATAATCGTCGACCACCGAATTTACTTATTGTAAACTAAATATATTACATCGAATGTATACAAATATTATAATAAATAAAAAAATAGGAAAAATGTATATTCACCACGACGTTTGTTATTTGAACTTTAATACATTTCTCGTTCGTGTACGTACCTATATTAATATATGTGTAGGTCGCACTTTGACAGTAAAGCTGTGCTCAGATGTTGAAAGTTCGTCGTCCTCCACAAACGAGTGGGCGTTTATTAAACACCTCCAGGCTCAAACGATGCAATTCGCACTTAATATTATAATCTCACAGTTATCGATCCTATACGCGTGATACAGAACTGTTGTAATAATTTACAGGGTGTAAAAGAAAGAATTGGCAGACAGTAATAAATTAAACATCTATATACAACTATACAAGTCAATGGTATGAACAAAATTATGAAAATTCTATGGATAATAAATGAGTTAATATTTACTATAATTATGTCTGAAAATTCCCAAAAAATAGTATTTTGAAAAAAAGTTATTAAGATTCAAATTAGTTTACTAAAACAACATATTGATATTTAAAAAAAAATGTAATACGATTTATAATTTTTTATTTTCAGTATTAAAAAACAAAAACAAAACATTTTATACCGACTTATTGTAGCGTGAGCGACAGTAAACTTTGTAAATTTTTCTTTTTTTATAATGATAAAAATAATTTAATTTGTCAAGGCTTTCTGTTACACCTTGTATTATATTCAGATAATACGTGTGTTGATAAAATACGTCAAAGAATGACTCGTAAAAAATAAATACAAACCACGGAGTTTATTGTATCATAATATCACTGCACCCCTATAATATAATATGAAATGGCTGTTGACCGTTCGGTGACAGATTTCCACAGACGTCATAATATTATAATAATAATATAATTTCACTAGTACGCGCGCACACACAATTATATTATTATTGTAACAAACGATTTGAAATAAAATATTTTGTTTTAAATTACTATTATTTGCAACGTCTCTATTGCGGATGGCGCGTGTACAGCTACTGTGCAATGTGAATTTGTTTCGCCTTCCTCGCGCGTTTCCCTCGACCCCCTCCCACCCAGCTGATGGGCCTACAGATATACCCGAATCCAAACGATATGGAAATACTCGAATACGATTCGAAATTGTACAATCGTTTCCTGCTGCAAACGACGCATTTAAACGTACGTTTTATTGTACAACATATATAGTGAAAACGCGTTCGTTTTGATATTATATATACAGGATGATTTACCAAGAACTATAAAAGGAAATGAGCTCTATTATCCTTGAAAATGCGGTTAATGGGAATCCTGATATTTAGCATTTTTTAGTTTACTTAAGGACAATATTTTCAAATACTTGGATTTCTTATATGTAATTTTTTTCAAAGGTACCTTCCTCCCATTTTTACTGCCAGCCGTTCAAACATAGGTGTATATGTTTTTTTGGAAAATTAAGATGCACCTAAATCAAAATTAAATAATGTTGTAGTTATTAAACGTCATGTACTGATATAATGATAATAATAATTAATAGTATGGTTTTACATCAATTTAATTTATTAACATAAATTAATAGATGTAATAAATTTAGTCTAGTATGGTCTAGTATGTTATTACTTATTGCGCACAGATAATTTTTACAAATTATGCTAATATCATATTATTATTAATTATTATATTTTTAAAATAACAATCGCCTAGTATAATTCTTTTAAATCATCTGATTAAAAATAATGTATTTTAAAAGAAGTTGGTTTCCGTTTGAAAAAAAGAATTCTGCATCGCCATAGGAAACTAAGAAAATATATCACTATACCTATATAAGTAATTGAAAATATACCGTAGTCTTTTAGAATATTTAAAAATCACGAAAATGAGAATCTGAAAATAATCGAAGTAAAAACGGTTGTGAGTATTCCTTATGACTACTGACCAGTGAATCACCCTGTATATTATGCACACTGTGTATTTTGTATAAATTATAATATTATATAGGACGCAGGACGCTTGTCTCATCCCGCGAAATGAACAACAGCAACATAGAAATGTATTTATAATTGATCTGTACCCACTCGGACGGTAAGTACCTACCTATACACGATCGGGTAGGAACAGGAAATATAATAAATTTGCAATATCGACTCTACAGCTTATTTTCAATACAATATATCGTTTATTAATTACTGCAATTACAAACATGTTAATTGTTATTATAAGCCAAGTAATTGAGGAAGCCGAGATCTACTCTTAATCGAAATTGTATTGTTATGAAATTTTAATTGCCTTAAAAGAATACATATCGCATTAATGAGTAGGTACTAACATAAAATACCTATATATGAACTTATTAGATGATATTATAATAAGTGTAATTTTTATAATAATATTATTACGATAAATCAATAGTTTTACAGTTCCGTTTCAAACCAGTATAGTTGTTTATTTTCGCATATACGCCCTTAAATATTTTCTAGTAGGTACCTACAGAATATAGAGAAGACTCACATGTCACATGTTGTGATACTCGTTACGTATTCGTATGCTTATTCAGTATTCACACACGCTTACGCATAGGTTTAGGCTATAACCGAATTCG